CCCTCCTTCCTTTCTTCCTTTCTTCCTCTCTTCCTTCTTTCCTTCTTTTCTTCTTTCTTTATTGCTTTTCTTGCTTTCTTTCTATAAATATACTTTTTGATAAAATTAACAAAAAACATGAAATTCTAATTTAAAAATTGACAGCTAGTTTTGACATTGGTTTGGGAAAAGAAGGAGTGGGAGGGGGAAGTGATGGGTGATTTGGGTTGAGATACACAATGAAATCACCATGCATACCTGGTTGATGCTAATAAAAATAATTTTTTAGTCAGGTACGAGAAGCTCATGCCTATAATGCTAATTACTCAAGAGGCTAATATCTGAGGATCCCAGTTCAAAGTCAGCCGGGGCAGGAAAGTCCATGAGACTATCTCCAATTAACCACCAAGAAAGCCAGAAGTGGAGTTATAGCTCAAGTAGTAGAACACTGGCCCTCAGCACAAAAGCTCAGGGACAGTGCCTGAGCCCTGAGTTCAAGACCAGCAAAAAACAAACAAATAACATCTAAAATTTAAGTATTAGCTAAAGTGAAACTTTTGTTCTAGGCTGGGGATTTATGTCAGTAGAAGAACATTTACCTGACAAGTTCAAGGCCCTGAGTTTGGTCCTCAGCTCTACATCATCATCATCATCATCATCCTCATCATCATAACTTAAAATTACTTTAGGTCAATAATGACATATGAAGATGCAACATAATTTGTTTTTCATATGTTTTATAACATGCTTAGCCTTTGCATACCTAGAAACAAACACAATTATAAATGGCTAAAAATAACAGGGATGAGTGACTGAGCAGTCTAGAAATTCAAGGGCATGGTATAACACCTACCTAGGAACTATAAGGCCCTGACTCCTAACCCCAGTATCTCTCTCTCTCTCTGTCTCTGTCTATCTGTCTATCTGTCTGTCTGTCTCTCTCTCTGCCTCTCTGTCTGTCCTCTTTCTCTCTGTCTCTCTGTCTCTCTCTTTCTCTCTCTCTCTCTCTCTCTCTCTCACACACACACACACACACACACAGTGTCAAATCATTCTGCAAGCTACTTTTCAGGACAAGGAGAGAGAGCATGCACAAATTGGAAACTTGTCTTGCTCGAGCATTCAAGTCACACCCGCTGAGCCACATTTCTCTTGGCTGCTTGCAGGGAACTCTTGGGAGTAGGGGTGATGTGACATTTCCCCAGGGAACGCTGGGTCAAGGGGTTTTGTGTTAGCAGAAAGGGAAATGGGCTAATTCTAATTTAACCCCAATGGGAAGTGAGTTGACGTCCAGGAATGGGTCACAGAAGCCACAGGCGAAAGAGTCTCCTGGGGCCCCAGGAGAGTCTAGAACCAGGAAGTAGCAATCTCCCAGGCCCTCGGTTCACCCTCTTTTCTCTGGACCTCATCGGTCTGCCCTGCCGCCTTACACACACAAGGGGTTGAGTGAGAGGCCTGGGTGGAGGACGCAAGGGAATGGGAGGGAGGGAGCACCAGAGCATGGAGTGTGTTGTGCTTCAGCAGGCCTGCGATGCTCTAAGCCATGGCTCTGCAGGAGGAGGAGTGGGGTTTTGTGATGCCAGGCAAGGAGAAGGGCACGGGGAGCCAGCGCCATCTTCAGAGAGCCACTGGTGAGAGCCACTGCAGAAGCCAAGCCATGAGCAGGCACAGAGCTGGCAAGGACACCCAAGAGGCCTGGGTGGAGCCATCAATGTGTCACCGCCTCTCTGCTTCCTCCTCTAACCACCTCTCCTCTCTTTTTCCCCTCCCTCCCTCCCACTGTCCCTCTCTCTCTCCCTTGCTCTCTCTCTGTCTCTGTCTTTGTCTCTGTCACTCTCTCTGTTCCCCCTCCCCCCAGCTTTCTTCTTCTGTGTGCACACCTGGTAGACTGAATCCTGAGTCGGATTCTCAGCAGAGGAAACAACTGACTAGGTTGAGGCTGATCTCTGCACCTCCATTCCACGGCCTGTTGTGGCCATGGGTACAGGGGCGCCGCAGGCCAACCACGGAACACTGTGTGAAAGCGCACCAGTGTGTGCACACACATGTGTGTCACACAGAGAAGAAAGAGAAAGAGAGACAGAGACACAGAGAAGAGAGACAGAGCGGGCACCAGTGGCTCACACCTGCAATCCTAGCTACTCAGGAGGCTGAGATCTGAGGATCATGGTTCAAAGCCAGCCCAGGCAGGAAAGTCCATGAGACTCTTATCTCCAATAAACCACTAGAAAACCAGAAGTGGTGCTGTGGCTCAAGAGGTAGAGCGCTGGCCTTGAGCTGAAGAGCTGAGGGACAGCGCCCAAGCCCAGAGTTCAAGACTATGACCGACAAAAAAAAAAAAAAGAGAAGAGAGACAAAGGGAGGAATGGAAAAAGGGAGGAAGGAAAGGAGGGAGGGAAGGCGTGAGACTGGATAGGTAACAGGTTCTCAGGTAGGGTAAGAATGGGCCTGGCCTACTTCAAGTTGGATCTGAGCAATCTGGGTTCAGTCAAATAGATGTCAAAACTGTCCAAAGCATCAAGGATATGTGACCAACATGTAGAAACTCTTCCAAGAAAGAAATAGATGTGACCACTAATAGGCCAGGGCTCTAAGAGCTTATTTAGCTCAAGAGAATAAAGGCTTAACAAACAATAATTCTGAATAAGCAATTGTAAATTATGCTTTTCTTTTTTAAAGAAAGAAGTATAAAGAATGACACTAAAAAAAGATAGATAATAAATTCTTCTGTGTCCAGGACAGAGGGGTCTAGATGGAGTCATGTACATAAAAGTTAGAGAAGTAAAAAAGCAGTATGAAATGCTTTAGAACCATAAAACAGATGTGTGGGAAGAGTAAGAGGAAATAACTCATCCCTTTCCGCCGGCAACAGTGATGTGTGGGTAGTAGGGAAAAGCAGGCTTCCTCACTTGGAGAGGTGAGTTCTGAACATTGTATCCAGATGGATATTTGGACATAATTATATAAGTATATAACTGTGCTCCTGTATCCATTTTATTTTTTTTATTTTTTTATTTTTTTGGGTCCAGTCATGGGGCCTGAACTCTGGGCCTGGACGCTGTCCCTCAGCTCTTCAGCTCAAGGCTAGCGCTCTACCACTTGAGCCACAGCGCCACTTCCGGCTTTTTTCTTTTTGCTTATGTGGTGCTGAGGAATTGAACCCAGGGCCTCGAGCATGCAAGGCAAGTGTTCTACCACTGAGCCACCTTCCCAGCCCTCCTGTATCCATTTTAAAAAGAAGCCATTGGAGTGGGGTTTTGGTTTTCTTGGCCTGTTTTTCCCTATTTTTTAAAGTAGTGTGAAACCAGGCCCAGTGACTCATGTCTGTATCCCAGCTACTCCGGAAGTGGAGATCAGACAGATCATAGTTTGGGGATGCCCTGGAGGAGAAAGAATAGTGAGACCCTGTTTCAACAAACAAGCAAGTTGTGGTGGTATACCACTATAGTTCCAGTTGCCTGGGAGGGGGGAGGGTAGATAGGAGGACCATGCGTCCAGCCTGGCCTGGGCAAAAAGTGCAAGGCCCTTTGTGAAAAATAAAACTGAAAGGGATGGGAATGTGGCTCAAGTAGCAGAGCACTTACCTAGCAAGCGCTAGCTCTGAGTTCAAACACCAGGACTACTACAACAGGAATATCAATGAAGTTTGAACTACTGTTTGTAGAGAGAAGCTGAAACAAAGTTGTGAATGAAAAGAGCAGACCTATTTAATATCGGTGCCACAGCCTTCTCTAAAAATGAGAAATATTCCAATGGAAGCAGAAGGAACAGACCTGCAGAAGACCTAGAATCACACCTCAAAGGAGAGCATCACACAGCTTCAAACCTAAGCTCCAGCTCAGGGTTACAAAATCTATCTAACAAAAGAAAAAGACCCCAGGTCCAAGCTAAATATACTAGAGTCCCACAAAACCTCTAAAATCCTGTCCCAGAGCTGAAAATCTAGACAAATTTAGGGGGGGCTTTAAAGAGTGAACAACAGCTAGATGCCAGTGGCTCACACACGTAATCCTAGCTACTCAGGAAGCTAAAATCTGAGGATCGTGGTTCGAAACTGGGCCTAGCCAGGTAAGTTCATGAGACTCTTATCTCTAATTAACCACCAACAAAGCCAGAAGGGGGCTATGGCTCAAGTGTAGAGTGCTAGCTCTGGGATCGTATACAGGCCTTGAGTTCAAGCCCCAGGACCAGCACACACACAAAAAGGGCAGCAACTGAGCAATGTCTACACAGCTGAGAGGCAGAAACTGCCTTGAATTAGAACCGTCCACACAAGGTGCCATTTGCCCCAGGAGTCGGCTGCTTCTTCCTGGACCTGTGTGAGCAGGAGCCAGGTGGCCTTGCATGGGAGGCGTGGCACCAGTGTCCTGCAGGGCTGGGACGTGTGCTCAGGAGTCTCAGAGAAAGGTCTGTGGGCTCAAAGTTCCTTTCATGGGCTTAAACCTAACCAAAAGGTTAGGTTGGTAGAGTGCTTGCCTTGCATGCATGAGGCCCTGGGTTTGATTCCTCAACACCACATAAGCAGAAAAAGCCAGAAGTGGTGCTGTGGCTCAAGTGGTAGGGCGCTTGCTTTGAGCTAAAGAGCTCAGGGATAGCGCCCAGACCCAGAGTTCACACCCCACAACTAACCAAAAAACAAAAACAAAAACTAACCTAAAAACCTAACCTAAAAGCTCAATTCCTCAGGCTAGAGCTACAGCTCAGTGGTAGAAGATGAGTCTAGCATATGTAAAATCCTAGGAATATCCAACAAAAATGTAGTACCCCCATTCAGTCCTAAAAAAATACCCCTCAAGTCCTATTTGATTGTTTGTTTGTTTGTTTAATTTGCTAGGTCTGGGACTTACAGCTGGTGACTTACCACTTGACTCATACCTCCACTTCAGCTTTTTGCCAGTTATTCAGAGAGAAGAGTATCTCAGATTTGTCTGCCTGGGCTGGGTTCAAGAACTACCATCCTCAGATCTCCTAGGTAGTTAGAGTAACAGACATGAGCCACTGGTGCCCGGCTCAATGAGTTTTATAATACACACTACATTATGATGTGGACCATGGCTGTCATTCTGGAACCTTCTCTCATGCTCTTTTGCATATAACCCGCCGAAGATAACTGCTGTTCTGGAATCCCTGCCGAATTAATTTACCAGCACTTTAGTTTTAGGTAAGTACACCATTGCTGTGGGGTCTTTTGTCATTTGGCTACATCATATGTGTAAGGCTCATCCAAATTGTTGCACGTGCTGCTTTGTTTCTGAGTAGGACCGCTTTGGTGAAGATGCCATCTTTTGTTTATGTAGTCTTTAAGCTTGTTTCCAGTTTAGGACTCTTATGAGTGCAGCTATGAACATTTTTAGCCAAAAAAGGAGAAGCCAATAGCAGCTGCACTGGACACTTAGTTCCACCCGACCTTGGGTCCTTGTTCTAGCTCCCTGCATTGAGCCTCACCCGCCTGGGACTTCTCCAGCCCTGTAGTGTGGTATGCGTGTAATGCAAATGCCAACCCAGAGCAAAATGCAGCCCCTGGTGCTCCCTGGGGAGGCAATGAGGAGGCCCCTTCCTCCCGATGCCTGGGGTCTCTGCCACAAGCAGTGGGCAAGTCCTTCTCCCATGCTTTGCTTCTGAAAATAACTGAGCATAAATGCAACATCGGTAAATCATCTGGAAGCCTGCAGGCAAACAGCAGAATCTAAGACACACAGTCAAAATGCTGAGGGGCGGGTAGTATACATGCCTCTCCATCTAGCTACTCAGCAGGCTGAGATCTGAGGATCACAATTAAAAGCCAGCTCTGGGCAGGAAAGTCCATGAGACTCTTTTTTTTTTTTTTTGGGTCCGGTTGTGGGGACTGAACTCTGGGCCTGAGCACTGTCCCTCAGCTCTTCAGCTCAAGGCTAGTGCCCTACCACTTGAGCCACAGTGCCACTTCCAGCTTTTTTCTTTTTGCGCATGTGGTGCTGAGGAATCAAACCCAGGGCCTCATGCATGCAAGGCAAGCGCTCTACCACTGAGCCAACTTCCCAGCCCCGTTCATGAGACTCTTATCTCCAATTAACCACCAAATATGCTGGAAGTTAGGTTGTGACTCAAGTGGTAGAGTGCTAGCCTTGAGCAAAAAAGTTCAAGGACATTGCCCAGGCTCTGAGTTCAAGCTCCAGGGCCAGCAAATAATTTTAATTTTTTTAATTTAAAATATATAATTTTATTTAGAAATATTAAAAATTATATAAAATATTAATATTGGGAAAGAGTGAGGGAAGAGGTGTCACTGTACAAAAAGAAATTACTCATTACCTAACTATATAACTATAATCCCTCTGTATATCACCTTTATAATAACAATTAAAATATTGACATATAGATGATAAAGGAATTATATCCAGAAAAAATAGAAAGTACTCTTAACATATTAGCATTAAGCTAGGTGCTAGTAGCTCACATCTGTAATCCTAGCTATTGAAAAAGCTAAGATCTGAGAAGCTTGGTTCAAAGCCAATCTGGGCAGAAAAGTCTGTGAGATTTTTTATTGTTGTTGTTGGTCGTGGGGCTTGAACTCTGGGCCTGGGCACTGTCCCTGCACTCTTCAGCTGAAAGTGAGTGTTCTACCGCTTGAGCCACAGCGCCACTTCTGGTTTTCTAGTGCTTTATTGGAGATAAGAGTCTCACAGACTTTCCTGCCCGGCCTGGCTTTGAACCATGATCCTCAGATCTCAGCCTCCTGAATGGCTAGGACTACAAGTGTGAGCCACCAGTGCTCGGTGCTCGGCTTGTGAGATTCTTAAGCTAACCAGCAGGAAAACAGAAGTGGAGTTGTGGTTCAAGCGTTAGAGTGCCAAGAGTCTCAAGTGAAAAAGCTAAGTGAGAGCACAAGGCCATGAGTTCACTGTTATGCATGTGCTCACTACACACACACACACACACACACACACACACACACCTATAATAAGACATTGCTAAAGATTCAATTTTTAAAATAGAAGGTTTAAGTGGACACCTCGCCAAAGAAGATATGTAAATGACAAATGAACGCATGAAAAGATGCTTAATATTTGTACTCTTCAGGGAAATGTAAAACACCATGAGATAGCACTACATACCTAGTGGATTTGCTAAAATCAAAGAGATTGGCCTAATCAAGTTGTTGGTGAGAATATGGAACTATAGGAACTATATCCAGCACTGGATACAGGAATATAAAAGATCAGAACTTTTTTTTCCCTCAACACCAGTGGATTATGTTCTTAATTGTAGCTAATGAGAAGGCTGAAGATCAAAGTTCAAAGTCAGCCCAGGCAATTTTTTTTAAGTCTGCTAGACTCCATCTCAAAAAGCCAGGCTGGAAGCATGACTCAAATGGTAAAGCTTCAGCAGAGCTAATGAGCTTAATGAGAGCCTAAGGTCCTTAGTTCAAATCTTAATACAGACAAAAAAGGAGCTACTAAGGAGGCTGAGATCTGAGGATTGCATTTCAAAGTCAGCCTGGGCAGGAAAGTCTGTGAGACTCTTACCTCCAATTAACCACCAGAAAACCAGAAGTGGCGCTGTGGCTCAAGTGGTAAAGTTGCTAGCCTTGAGCTGAAATGTTCAGGGACAGTACCCAAGCTCAGCATTCAAGCCCTACGACTGACAAAAAAAAAGTCATAACCATTTTAGGAAAGAAGATTTTACTTCCTTAAGATGTTAAACACACATATTACTGTAGGATCCAGCTGTTCTACTTAGATGTTTACCCCAAACAAATGAAAAGCGTATTCCTACACAGACCTGTGTGTCTGTGTTTACAGCAGGTTTATTTACAAACTCCCAGCCTGGAAACAATCCAAATGTCAATCCCCAGTGATCAGCTGATCAAATCATCATATGTTCACACAATAGAATGTACAGCTAGGCATGAAAAAAGTAAATGATTAAAACCTACATCACCATAAAGGAATCTGAGAATAATTATTCTGAGCAAAGGAAGCTGGAAAGAAAACAACCCATCCTCCCTGAGATCTGAGGGGAATTTGGAACCTAACAGATCAGAAATCTAAAGCACTTCCGGGTCAGTGTTATACTTCTTGCTGGTCCTGTTCTGTTGGGGACTTCCCACCTGGTGTGGGGAGGAGGGGGGAATCTCCCGTTGCTGGTGGCCTGTGAAGTCTGTGTCATGTGTTCCTCACTTCGTTTGGCAGTGTCCCCTCCCAGGGGCCAGGTTCTGCGTGAATCAGGAATGTAAAGCATAAATCTGTAGTGACAGAATGAGAACGGCGGAGGCCAGGGGTGGGGATGGGTAAAGGGACAGAGGCAAATGGCTGGGCCTTGGAGACACATTCTCTATCTTGATTGTGGTCTTGGCTTCATGGCGGTACACATATGTCTTAGCAGATTTTATACTTTAAGTGTGTATAATAATGTATGGCAGAAATTCCTGAACCAAGGCAAATGAACGAAGGAGTGAAATTAAATACGTTGGAAGGTAACAGTTACAGATGGGGAAGCTCGACCAATAAGGGAGGACCTGGAGGAGAACGGGAGCCGTTTGCCCCTGAAGGAGAGAGGGACTTCACACACAGGAAGAGAGGAGCTAGAACGCACTCCATGCTGGTGGTTTGGAACTGGAGATGCTGGTGGACACATATGGCGTCCAATAGGTGTAGTTACACTGGCAAGAAATCAAAAAGACTATCACTAGACATAGTTAGGTACAGAAAGAAGTATAGATAGGAGGTGTGAAAATTTACATATGACACAAATTTCCAAGCCCTGTGGCTGAGAGAGCCAATAGCCACGAGGCGGTCTTACTCTGGTGTACAAGTGTGGTCCCAGGGACGTGGGAAGGGTCACTAGGAGAACTTTGATCCAGGCCAAAAGTGAGACTTGATTCAAATAATGAGAGCAAAATGGTGGAGGCATGGCTCAAGTGGTAGAGCATTTTATATATATATATATATATATATATATATATATATATATATATATATATATACATACTTATATATAATATACATATATATGTGTATATATGTATATATACATTACATATAATATACACATACAATGTATATATAATATATACCAATCTATACTAAAAAATATATATATAATGTATACCAACATATACTAAAAGCTGCCAAATACATGAATTACATATGAGTTATTTATAATAAATAATAGCATCATGTTATAAATTAAAGCTGCCAAACATGTTCAGTCATCAAAGATACAGTAAAGATAGAAGCAGATGCCAGTAACTCATGCCTGTAATCCTAGCTATTCAGGAGGCTGAGATTTGAGGATTGCAGTTCAAAGCCAGCTCAGTCAGGAAAGTCCATGAAACTCTTATTCCAATTAACCAACAAAAAGCCGGAAGTGGAGCTGTGGTTCAAGTGGCAGAGGGCCAGCCTGGGGTGGGAAAGCTCAGGGACAGGGCACCAGCGCTGAGCTCGAGCCTCGGGACTGCACACACAGAAAGGACTGTATCTGCTGATGTGATGAGAGGCTGAGTGTCTGGGCTCACGGCAGTGAGGCTATCCCGAGAACAATGGAAGAAGTAGGAGTGCTGGGCCAGCAGCTCGTGGGAGGGCAGCAGAGGTGTGGGTGGGCAGTGGTGAGGGCCATTGGAAAATGGGAAGCTTACGTCTGCAGCCATTAATCCCACAGAAAGCCATCCTGGTACTTAACTGCCCACACAGAAGGAGGACCTGTGAGCTCTCTGGAGTTGAGAGCTGTCAGATGACATGTAAGAGAAAACAAACAAACACAAATAAATCTGGGTTGGGTGGTGGTGGCTCACGCCTATAATCCTAGTTACTCAAGAGACTGAGATCTGAGGATCACGGGTTCAAATCTAACCTAGGGTAAGAAAGTCTATGAGACTCTTATCTCCAATGATCCGCCAGAAAACTGGAAGTGGCGCTGTGGCTCTAAGTGGTAGAGCAGTGCTAGCCTTGAGCGAAAGAGCTCAGGGACAGTGCCCAGGCCCATAGTTCAAGCTCCATGACTGACCAAGAAAAGGAATCTATTTGTGGAAGGAAAGATTCCTTCATGTTATGGGATAGAATGGTGTGTAAGTGGCAGGCCTGGTCCAGAGCAAGGCTGAGCTGGGAGGAGCCAACTCCCCAGGCTGCCCTGGTGTCCAGGGCTCTTGACTGCTCTCCAAGGCCGGCCTGAGAGTATGGCACC